GGTGGTATGTGTTCAGTAGCGGTTTTTGGCACGGGCGAACCGGGCAGCCATGTAGCATTTTTTCATGATACATGGGGGGCGGCACGAGCAGTAAAAAAAAAATAAAAAATCCTCTGCGGTAAATGTTCCACATACTGTCAAGTCACATTGTATTATAATTTATTTCACATCAGAGACATATAATCATATTTTATTTTGGCTGATTCCTACATTATCAATAGAATATGTCTAAGCATGAGCAAAAAAATGCAAAAATGACTAAAAAATGCAAAATGGTTGAACTTCTTGTCATAATTTGTCCTGCATATTTTTCATCCATTCCTATTAGACCTGTTTTTTTTTTTTTCTAAATGTGTCCTTAATTGATGAATTTCACAGGTGAATCTTGAGTTTCACTAATGAAGGAAAACGTCAAGTGATAAATCAACCAATGATCATCCAGTTCTCTAAAATAGCTCATAGGTGCATCTAATGAGCCTTCAGTTGGCAAGCATAGACAGACTACAACACAGTGGCTGCGTTCGAAACCGCATACTCAATGAGTAGGTACTTAATTTCAATAAGTACTTACTTAACGAGCACTAAAAGAGTACGTACTCTACAGTCAAATCTCGTTGAGTATGAATGCGATCCATACATCATCCGCCATGTTGACCTTATCATGTGACTTAAGACGTTACAAGCGCAACGACTTAAAAGGTTTAATACTTCTATCTGTATATATTTTGATGTTGATGAAATTTGCTCATTTTGTGGTCTTGTTGGAGAAACAGCTGCCTTTTTTATTGTGAATGCAGTATAACCAATACATTTTGGGTTGATTTAAGTTTTTATATTCAAAGATATTTACCTTTCTAATTTTGCCCTTTTTTCTGTTATATATTCTCATACAATGATGTACGCAAACCCATTGTATTTATGTTTTCTATTATGATTGTTCATTGTTAAAGATACAACAATTTCTCCCTGAGCTTGTAAGTAATTAAAAGTTCTGCAGCAATAATAATAAAAAGAAGATAAGAGAGGTGCACTAACACCTCATAGCATCAGTAACTCCACAACCCTACCTAGTACAGTTTTCTGCAGCGTTTGCAATGTCTGCACAAAGGAGACGTCGATCAGCTGCTTGAAGATCTCACCTTTGGAGTAGACTGCTGATATTATACTCGAAAAATGTAAATATTACTTATACTGAACAAAATTATAAACGCAACACTTTTGTTTTTGCCCCCATTTTAATATATAATTTTAGTAAAACAAACAAAATGTAATTTGTTTTGTCATATGCCATGTCTATGCATGAATACACACTAGACAAATGCAGCCAAGGTGAATACTTCTCAATTTTCAGTCAAGTAATGAATGCACAAGTTAATGAAACAATTATATTTTATTTACTGACAACAGGAAACATGAATAAATGAGTAAAAAAATAAATAAAAGGAAACCATGAAATTAATAAACAAAGTTGACAACACATAATACAAAGCTTTATTCAAACTTTTCTAACAATGATGTATTTACAGGCGGTGAAGCCACATCCTACTGCCATCTCAACACAGTTCTGCAGCTTTATTCTGATGAAGCAGCTGACCACCGTGTCCACCTTCACCTGTCTCTGCTGTCCATCATGTCCCTCATTGCTGCAGTCAGACTGAGTCTGATCATGGATGGGGGAAAGGGACATCGAGGTTATCGTTGCCTGAGTGCACAGAGAGGATGAGGAAGACCATGATGATGCCCCTGAACCACACAATCTTGAACATGTGCGAGACAATCTGGCTGCTGCTGCATCTGTTCCAAACATCTGTGTGCCTGCTCTCCATGAACATGACTACCTGTAAAACATTTACACAGAGTAAAACGTTTTACAATTCATGTTGTCAGCATTCCATTTCTTGCCAAATTTCATTTCATGTTTACAATTACATAATCATTTTTGTTATAGCTTCTTTACTTTTGTGGTGTAGTGGGCTAAAGCACTGAGCTAGTAAGCAGAAGGTTACTGGTTCGATCTCTGCAGTCATCACCACTGGTTGTGTCCTAGAGCAAGGCTCTTTTCTCCAGGTTGCTGCAGGGGGATTGGGGTCCCTGTAATAAGAGCACTGTAAGTCACTTTGGATAAAAGTGTCTGCCAAATGCATAAATGCAAATGTGATTTTTGTAAATCCCTTTTTGTGTCTTGGGCACAGACGCTCAATAAAGCTGCTTATTTCTTTAAGTTTATTTCTTCAAGGTACTACTTGTCATGGTACTGGAGAGTGATGAGGCAAGGACTCAAATGCAGGAGAATAATGGGTCTTTTTAATAATAAAATGAAACAAAACAAACACAAACTACCCAGAGGGCGGAAAACCAGGCGAGAAGGCCAGAACAGGGCATAGCAGGTAGAGCTGGCCCAATACCACAAACACACAGACACATCTGACTACATACGACAACGAAGAAGCACAGGACTGCAAGCACAAGGAGAATAAATAGGGAGACAAACGAGGAGGGTAATGAGAGAGACACAGGTGGAGTAACTTAATAATGAGGTGACAAGATGGGAGGGGACAGACAATAAGACAGGAGAGAGCACATGGCTTGTGTTGTGCTCTCTCCTGTTTTACTGTCTGTCCCCTCCCATCTCACAAAAATCCACAAGAGTGCCCTCTGGTGGCCATCTTGGGCACTCCAGCTGCAGACCGTGACATAACCCCTCCCTTAAGGAGCGGATTCCAGATGCTCCTCAATGTCAAAGGAATCCGGGAGGGAGGCGGAATGGAGGTGGACTAGGGGGAGGGATGGTGGGCCAGGCCCGTGTAGGGGAAGAGGACCTGGATCCTGAGGCGGATCATGGAACCAGGGTGGAGCGTAAGCCCATTAGGGCGGAGCAGGTGGAAAAGAGAACCACCACTTGAGAGGAGCTGAAGTAAATGCCGCCACCTCAGGAGGTTCTGCAGCAGAAGCCGCCACCTCGGGAGGAACTTCAGCAGGCCCTGAAGGCTCCTGGAATGGAGCGGGCTCTGGAGTGGAATCGGAAGGTTCCCGGACTGGAGCTGGCCCTTGAGTGGACACTGAAGGCTCCCGGACTGGAGTGGGTTCTTGAGTGGACTCTGAAGGCTCCTGGACTGGAACGGGCTCCCGAACTGGAGCGGGTTCATGAGTGGACTCTGAGGGCTCCTGGACTGGAGCGGGCTCTGGAGTGGACTCTGAGGGCTCCCGGACTGGAGCAGGCTCTGGAGTGAACTCTTGAGGGCTCCTGGACTGGAGCGGGCTCTGGAGTGGACTCTGAGGGCTCCCGGACTGGAGCAGACTCTGGAGTGGACTCTAAGGGCTCCCGGACTGGAGCGGATTCTGGGGTGAACTCTGAATGCTCCCGGACTGGAGCACGCTCTGGAGTGGACTCTGAATGCTCCCATGCACGCAGAACAGTCCAGAGGCCAAAGGCAAAGACCGCCTTCTTGACTATGGCAGCAGCAGTGAAATTTGTCCTCCGGAGCACAAGGAGAATAAATAGGGAGACAAACGAGGAGGGTAACGAGGGAGACACAGGTGGAGTGTAATGTCAGATTACTTTTCTTAGGGAATTAATTATTATTAATTAATTCAGGTTTTGAGAGGACTCGAATCTGAAAATTCGAAGTCAACCTGATTAGAACTGATTTCAAATTTGATAGTTTACACTTTATCAACGGTCGTCCAGCGAGACGTTAACGTCCGTGTATATTAACGATTCTGTTCATATTACTTCGTGGCCAATGACACATAAACAAAATGGAAATCTTATTCATTTTGAGCAAGGTAGCAAGGATCTAGGCAGAGTTTTAACTTTAAAACATACATTAACATGAGGCTTCAATTTATCATGTGGAGAAATATCTTTGCGAAGATTTGGTTGATACTTCTATAAAGTTTCTTAATGCGAGTATTGTACATACTTCCCACTTTTTCATTCAGACCGCTGTTCGGCAATTATCACACGCTTTCATTCAACACTAAACTTCACATATTAATAGCTTTATCTGCTAAAAGGGGTTAACAAAACATTGATTAAAGTTGCAAGGTTACATTTTGACTCCTCAAGCATATATAAGACATACAACATATTATTTGTGAATATGGTTGCCCTTTCATACGCATAAATGATTGTCTGTTGAAATCATCCGGTGAGTTTGGCGTGTTCCTTGTCTCTCCAAGAGGAGGCGCGTTTTCTTGGAATTTAGAGGAAGGGGGAGCACAGAGAAAACCCTGAGGTCAAGGAGGTTGTAAAAACGGTCCTGGTCATAGACCCTTTAGTTTTTCCGGTGGAATGCAGAGATTCAATGTTAGTTTTGGTCTGCTCACAGATTAAATGGTTTCTGTTTTGAAGACAGAAATCCTACAGGAGTAAATTAAATAATAATGAGGTGACAAGATGGGAGAGGACAGACAATAAGACAGCAGAGAGCACATGGCACCAAACAAACACAACACAAGCCATGTGCTCACAAAAATCCACAGGAGTGCCCTCTGTTGGCCATCTTGGGCACTCCAGCTGCAGACCGTGACCCTACTTTAATATAAATGCATACATATATTTCATACAATTTCTATTTGGGGGGTTTAAAGGGTTAGTTCAGCCAAACATATAAATTCAGTCATTATTTGCTTGCCTCAACACTGTTCAATCCTTGTGCTGCTGTGGACATCTCCATCCTCACTGCACACAGCAGTCTGCAGACATTTCCGATCCTGCAAAAATGCACAAACACAATACAAAAGCAGTCATTTTAACAGCACAAGTCATTTCATTTCTGTATTAGAAGTAACAAAATTATCTTACTTTATGTTTTTATTTCAGGTTTTCTCTTTTTTCCACAAATGCCGCCGTCACCTTTCCTAGCAGGTCCTGCTCCACCACAAAAGCTCTGCAGCAAATGCACAGGAATCAAGAATAAGAAAAGTTCTCTAATAACTCTGTTTGAAATTACAATAATTAAAATAAAATACAACTTAAGATTTAAAAGATGTTTAATTCATTTCTGTAGTGTACTCACTCAAAGCCTTTGATGGCAGCATTCCTTCATCAGTCACTCTGCACCGGATAAACACACGTGTGTCTCATCTGTCCCTGTAACATCCAGACAAGATTCAAGTTATCTCTGTGATTTATCTGCTCAATACTGCATTTACATGTTGAGGTAGTTGCTAATGTGTTAACTCACTTTTTATCCAACACAAATGTTACTCAATGTATCAACAGTACTGAACAAATAAAACAAATAACTTATGTTTAGTTACTCTATGTAGATTTATTTATTTACATTACATTCAACTAATGTAAGCCGTGTTGACAACAGTGAATTCTACTACATATCAGCGCACATGCATCACTCCGATGTCTATTTCATGTCTATTAGTTGTGCCCATCTGTAATTCTTTTAGAATATTTTCCTGATATTAAATAGACATTTAGTAATCGTCTCTATGGTTTATAAATTCACTGTGGAGATGTACATGAGCTCCTGTGTTCGCTATAACATAATAAAATGTGCTTTTACAGAAAAATCACAAGTATACTATACTGTCTTGCATTACACCTTCAGCAGTTCAACAGTTTACTCTACAGTAGTTCAACAAATGCGATTTTAACACAAGGAACCGTGTTTTGGTTTGTAATACTCACATTTGTAAACACCCTCGTCGCTGTTCTCCATCACGTTCGATGATGACATATCCTCTCCCGTGGGCTTGTGGGATAGAAAAGTGTCCATCGATGAACACTTCAGAATCTGGACTGAAGTAGTAGGACATCCGGGAATTTCTCGCCTACTCTTTTATGAATACTGCGGTTTCGAACATACTTATTTCTTCACATATTCTTTTCTCATACTATATAGTAGGTAAGTAGGCATATTCAAACGCAACTTAAGTATACGTATGTCCGAATCTCACAAGAATTAGTGCACCAGCCAGGTAAATCTCGCCTACTCTTATGAATACTCAGAGATCAAACATACTTATTCGCTTGCCTACTGCTTTTTGCCTACTATATAGTAGGGAAGTATGCGGTTTCGAACGCAGCGAGTGTTCAGTAGGGGAACAAGGAAACAAACGGTCAAAAGCCAGGAAGAAGAAGAGGATTGAGGATGAATTGGGGAAGAGTAGGGAGGAAGAATGTCAAGGACATAGGCATGTTTCTGATGAAATAAGGGCCACTATTGTGGACCATGTTCTCAATCATGGCCTTACAATGGCCAAGGTGAGTCGAAGTTGTTGTGGTGCTATTTATACAAATTGTTTTGAGAAATTAATTTACTGATTTGCAGATGTTAAGGATGAACCAAGAAATGTAAGAATGCCTGAGAAAAAAAATGTAATTAATTTTCTGCTTGAACACAACAATTAAACAACTAGATTCTATACGATCCTCTCATTCGAATCTATATCATGCTCTGATCCCTACATATGTGCATGACCCCCCTTTTTTCTCGGTCCTGGAGGGCCGGTTTCCTGCAGAGTTTAGCTCCAACTTGCCTCAGCACACCTGCCTGGAAGTTTCTGGCATGCCTATAAAACCTTGATTAGCTGGTTCAGGTGTGTTTAATTGTGATTGGAGCTGAACTCTTCAGGACAGTGGCCCTCCAGGAGCAGCATTGGACACCCCTGGTAAATAGTAAATATATTAGGTCAAAGAGGTTCGGCTGACAAAAAAGTTTGGGAATCCCCGTGTTACATGTTGACACTCACTAAAAGATCATTCAAATAATAATTAAAATGTTCAACTCCGTCAGGGATTTATTGGATATTAGCATTGTTGCTAATAACTACCAGCACAGTGTCATTAGCACAAATGGTGCAGGATGAAAGTGTAATGCTTAAAGTTTGGGATCTGTTCTAATCCCTAACTTTAGATATGATAATTGGTAGGTTATTTCTCTTTTTGTGTTTATAGACATCTGTGTGAATACCATCAGCCATCTTAAAGCTGTTTAACCCATGACGCTTCTCTTACGAAAAAGAAGTTTATTCAAGTGTGCTATTAGTATACTTATATACTTGAACTTTACTTAAGTATACTTACTAAAATAAACTTGAAGTATACTACTTTTTGGTAAGGGTTTGCTTCTTGTCTTTCTGCCAGCATACTTAAACTTTATTTAAGCTTGTTAAAATACCAAAAATAAATAAATAATTATGCTTATTAAATAAATGTCTGTGGTTGACACCTAAAAAAGAGAAACTAGGAATTTGCGGGAAGCATCTTGGCTTAAAATGCTATTAAATAGTGAACTATTTTATTTGCTGGCAGTATCTACAATAGTGTCGTGCCAGATTGATAGTGCTCTGTAAAGCATGTGATAGATAGATAGATAGATAGATAGATGGATGGATAGATGGATGGATGGATGGATGGATGGATGGATGCAGCTGTGCAATGCATACAGAAGTGGAAAATGGTGAAACATCACTGGCAGTGTTGTCATCTGAGTCATGTGTAGCCCATATAAACAGGAGGTCATTACAGACACTAGAGCTGATATTAGGGAGTAAAAAAAGGCCGATATCGATATCTCGGCATTCTTTGTGTATATTATAGTACAGTACCAGTCAACAGTTTGGACACTTTCCCATTCGTGTGTCCAAAGTTTTGACTGGTACTATATATAGAATACAGTATATACATAAACAGAATATATATACATAAACACATTTTTTGCAATGATCACTCAAATGTGGTGATCAAACACTTATAATGATGTGACCAAGATATGTAATGGAGGCAGGGTATTTAATAATTTAGCAATACACTTTATTATCCAAAATGAGTCTGACATCAGTGCACTTAACAGTAAAGTTGAAGTTTATTCAACTTTATTTCAATTCAATTCCATTCAACTTTATTCCGTTGAAGTTTATTTCACTTCGGAACATTCATTTACAGATTTGCGCTACACCACTGTCTTCACACACAGACGAAACTTACTAGAGAAGTGTGACATAATATAGGCCTACCTCTGTAAAGAAATACTATTTCAATTCACGTCTCGCGCACTTTAATGCCTTTTGAATGTAACGTGCACGTTCCTTTGGAACTAGAATCGTGGAATATCATGTGATGAGGAACAGGATTAAGAACCGCTGCTTTTGCGTCTCACCAACTAGGTGACAACGTAGTGCTAAATCACCATGCAACAGACTCAAGCCACCACCGCACAAACTAGTTAGCAACATTAATGTTAAGACACCGCTTGAATTCTGCTGCCTGAACAAGAGACCTCCTTACTTAAAGCTTAAGTGTATGGAATACCATTGAAACTTTGAATGGCTATATCTCTGTAACAGCACGGCGGATCCGCACCAAATTCGGGGGATCCCTTCAGCTTGAGGAGCCGAATCAAGTGTACGTCTCGAGGCCCCCTTTCGAATGAGACCACCCCCACGTCGATAGCCCCTGGGATCCGGGAGTTACGGGCGGTTAAAGTTGCGGTCGGGTGCGACCGATCTGGCGATCCCGGGGGGCTACCGACGCGTGGAGAGCGGTGTTCGAGAGGGCTCCTCGGGCTGAAGGGATCCCCCGAATTCGGTGGAGATCTGCTGCCGCGTTCGCGAGATAGTGACACCAGCCAACCCTTTCACTTAAAGCATTTAATCCAGATCGCCAAAAGCAAACAATGGAGCACGCTCTGCTGGACAAACTACATAATTACACCATTTACAAGCATTTTATCTGCATTTTATGTTTTGTAAAAAAAAAA